TTTTGGAGATGAGCAATCAGCATATGATGACTTGAAAAACGATTAAAGACGATTCAAGACGATTCAAGTATGGTAATGGTTTAAGCATCAATTTCTTATTATGGAGTGCGGTACACTTGGCAAAAGTAGTCATGGATCAATATATATTTGCCGATAAATTGGAAATTGTATTGCGAGATGGCTTTAATGGTTCAACTAAAACTATATCGTCTCAATTGTGATTTTTTGATGGACCATTCTGCATTTGGATTCTGACAGATATCTGATAAATCTGTGTAACTTTTATTTAATTTGCATTTAAAATCAAGTTTTACTTTGAATTTAATCTATTTTTTTATTTTTATTTATTTGTGTCGACTGAATTGAGTTGACATTAAATAAATGAATAAATAGTTAGAGCGTCTTCAACCTGAGCGACAACTATTTAATTGACTGATTTAACGGCCGCACCATAAATGGCGGCATTTTAGTGATTAGTGTGCATAAAGCTGGTCACGTCATACTTGTAGTATCTCAACTGTTGTCCATACATACACACACACACACACACACACACACAGGTATATGCGAAATGTGCCATTTATGAATCTATACAATTAGCCTTGATGGCTGTGTGCATTGCGTCACTTTTGATTAGCCAACTACTAACTTTGACAGAGGTTAAAGTTAACGTCTTTTATGTTCACTTTGTCTCTTTCAGCTTCTATGTGTGTGTGTTTGTATGTTTGTGTATCAGTTTTTTTTTAATGTATTTTTTTTATATTATTTTTTTGGATGAAACCCTATCCGTGATCATGGCTTATGCAATTGCATTTGCAAAAGCACCGTTAAATTGACAAGTCACTGTGTGTGTGTGTGTGTGTTTTTTGTGCATATCAAATTTCACTCACTGTGCGGTCGGAGCAGACAGTCAATGCAATCAACAGGTGAGCTACTAACCCAGCTTTATAATGTGCCCCCCCTCCCCCGCCTCACCACATCGGCAACATTTCCACATTTCCTACACTGTACTTACTGCATACATACATACATATGCATATATGTAGGTATTTATGTATTTGTATGTATGGTCTTTTAGGTATTACTGTGCACGATAATTCCCAAAACTTTTGCTGTGTATATATGTACATACATACATACCTAGTAACACATACAGTTGCGGTCAAAAAAATAGTACTGCTGTTTCTGCAATGCATTTAATACAATTTTAATTCATTTAATGGTGATCATATCGAGACCTCTTCAATACAAAAAATATTTGGTTTCTAATCTGGAAATATTTGAAAATACTATTATTTTGCCAATATTAAACGTAGTAAAATTTAACCACCCATCATGTCTAGTATTTAGAAATATTATTATGTCATAGGCAAAGCTGAGAAAACTTTACAATTATTCCACTATTTATAAATTTAAATAACAATTATTTAAAAATAAAATATAAAAATTATGGATTTGGATTTTTGTTTGCTAATAAATGTTATAGCTATGTCAACTTTTAATGTTTACCCATATTCAGTATTGATTTCATAATTTCTTAACTATATTTTAAGCATTCTTTTTTTTCTTAAACATTTTCCAAAGTCTATGTGTGCAGTGCTCTTATTTTGACCGCGGCTGTATTTTCATGATGTTTCTTTACTAGCTTTTCTCTAGCTGTCTTTTGGTGCCGGCTCAAACGAATACTGGGCGATTGCAGCTGCCAAATAATAATGCCTATGCTTATGTGTGTGTGTGTGTATGTGCGCGTGTGTGTGTGTGTGTGTGTGTGTGTGTGTGTGTGTGTGTGCGTGTGTGTGTGTGTGTACATATTATACACTTTAAAATGTGAGTTTATGTTTGTGTGTGTACAGAGTACTCACAGGGCATTCACACACACACACACACACATAGCCGGGTTATAATTTGATTTTGTGTACATATAATTAAAAAAATTTCATTTTTTTGTTTAGTTTTTTTGTTTTTTTTTGTTTTGTGTACCGTTCAAGCTGTGCAAGATTTTCAACAGTAACAAAAAGCCGAACAGTGGTGGAATACAAAACAACAGAAATAAAGCGAGAAAAAAAAAAACAAATACAAAAACACACACAAAAACGCTGTGTGTGACTTTCCCGGCATTTGGCTTTTAGTCATATTTACGTACTTACACACAGACACACATACATACATACATGCATACATACAAACATGCATACGGACTTCTATTTAACTTTATTACTTATACATATATACATATTCTCATACATATACATACAGTTAAATTTAAGTCCCATGTTCAAGGTTTCTGCTTTACCCATAAATCATAATTTTTTTTTTTTTTGGCTGAGACTCGAGCCGTATCTGTGTACATAATATATACATATGTATGTATGTATGTATGTACTTACATGTGCACCACTTAGATTACACAGGAGATTCACCTTGACATTTTGTGGCATTACAGTCAAGTCTCATTCCAGAGAACTCGCACTCGAAACACGCCTTTCACTTTGTTCTGCTGGCTAATTTTTTTGGTCAAGTGGAGAATCCTTGTTATATAATACTTTTTATGTTTTTACCTTTTTGAGAATGAAATTCATCGCAATAAACCGAATCGGGTAATTTAATCATTTTACAGACACTCGACTGTATTTCGTTTAGCACTCGAACTCGATCAGGGCATTCAGCCAGATACATTTGTATGTATCTACAAATGTATCTCAGCAAAGCTGTGTTAACACATTTCTCATATGACTTCAACTCCTATTCAAGTCAGCACATTCAACTTATTTAATTCATTTTTTGCGCAAGACAGCAGAAGCAGAGCCAACAGAAAAAGTGTCAGTGCTGCCACTTTAGACTGTTTCGACAAAATAAATGTCGACCATATCAAGAGCTCATAACTCGTCAATATACACACGTGCTCAGGTGTAAATCAATAAGACCCATATGGAAATGTATATATGCATGAATTTCTCACAATCTCGAAGGTAGATTGCTGGCAAAAACAAACAACGAGAACAACAACAACAGCAACAACAGAGCACTGGGGAGCATCTGGGGCGCACCTACTTTGGTGAATCAAGCTGCGAATCCTGCGAGACGCTAAACCGGTATCGGTTTTGCATTCGGGTATGGCACACGGATGAGGCGGCTTTTGTAGCAGGCATGCACTCCACGAGTATATAAGCCATGTAAATATGTACATACATAGATACACACACACACACACATTTAACATGTGGCTGTTTTGTATACCCTATACGCATTCAAGCACTTCTGAAACTCCCAAATCTCCTGTACAACATTCTGTACATTCAACATTCGTAAAGTATGTTGCGGGTATTTCGAGTTATTGTGATGATTTATGACAATATCAATGTCAAAATTAGCTTATAAGTGGTAATTGTCATTATCATCATTAGAGATATATTACTCTATAATTTACTATAGCTTAATGCTGAAAGCACTTTAGAAATAATATCATCTCTAAATGTTTCTTATTTATTATTATTTTGCAGAAAAGTTGCTATTAGTGGTTGTTTTGTATTGGAAGCAATTGCTTTATTATCTATTCTATAAAAATCAAGTGGTAATTTACTTTAAGTAAATACTGACATTGGAATCGCCAAATGTTACGAATGTTGTTAAAAATAAAAGTAATTCAAGAATTAGTTTCTCAGATTGATTTTGCTCGGGAAAGAAGAAGTTCGGCTATACATCAAAAAAATAAGTATATACAGGGTATCTGCTCGTCGGGCTCTTTCAGCTAGAGCAGCTTTTTTTATACTTTTTTTGTTTTGCCTCTTTTAGGGCTTATGTTGTTTTTGCGCAAATGTTGCCAATGGCAGGCAACAGATTTCGAAATAAATGATAAGATAACAATTATCATACCACAGCGTGATCTAACTGGAAAGACAGCCAGAGAACTATTAAAATTATACTCTTGTTGTTACACACACACACACACACACACACGCACACATATGCATATGCACACATACAAACAGACTTGTGTTTACGGCAATTGTACGAGTTGAACAACAAAACGCAACTGTGAAAAGGCATTAAATAAAAAAGCGGCGGACGTCTTTTGCTCGATTGCCTTTTTCTTTTTTCTTACTTCCCTTTCGTTGGTATTGCTGTTGTTGTTGTTGCTGTTGCTGTTACTGTTTTGAGGCTTTATGCCGTTTTGCACAGTTGGGTTTATATTTCGAGAAATAATTTCTACCTCCATTTTGTGGTCACATACCCTCTCTCTACTCAGATTGGGTAAAAAGGGTATGCTAAGTAGAAACTGCTGCTTGAGTGAGTTGAGTGATTAAAGCTTTAGGTTCCCTTGTCCCCTTTGCCAGTCATACTATATTCATATTAATATTATTACTATTATTATTAGTGTACACTTGCACTCTTAAGCTAGGGAAAAGAGGGGAGGAGTGTAGGGAACAGGGTATCTGCTGGTCGCTCATTTCCGGTTAGAGCATGCTTACTTGTTTCGGTTGGGTTCATTCACCGGCAACAAACGCAACAGCAGCGACAGCTATAACAACAACAATACCAACAACCACAACACATCGCACAACAATCCAATAAGAATCGTCCAACTTGGTCTCGTTCCGTTCAAACTCTTGCTTAAGCACGGCCGCAGCTACGGATGCACGGCTACACAACACATGCACCAACACACACAAATACAAATACACACACAAATACAAACACACACATACACACAATGTTATTAATTTAGCGTGTCTTGTTGTCAATTGCTAATAAGACTTTTGTACTTGAAAAAAAAGTGAAAGAAATTGGTTATTTAGAAATATCACCGTAACGAAAATACGCCGATTGGACGTATGCAGATATAGTCGCAGATACACACAAACAGTTAGTTAGTCAGACACACACACACACACTAGCGCGCGCACCGATTCTGTCTCACTACTACTGCCCAACTGTATGTGTGTATCTGTGTTTGTGTGGAAATTACCAAAGCAACAACAACAACAACCAGCGGTACTCACAACAATATATCAACAATCTACGACGCGCACTAAGCGTGTACTCAGTCGCGAGTGAGTACTTGGGAAACAGTAACAAAACAAAAAAAAAAAGAACACGTCCGCTCACCACGAAAGTCGCATGTATTTTGAATTGCTTGCTTCAGCCTGTTAACTAACAGCGGGCACATTTCGTTCAAATTCATTCAACAACTTTAGGTTGGCCGGCGTTCACGTTAAGTGAGTAAATCGTTAAGTGTGCGCTTTACATATGTCTTGGCTAACGTCCAACTTTCAAGTCCATAATTGCGACTTTGCTATGCTGAGTTTCAAAAAAAGCCCGATAGAGGTCATTAGTTGGATGTGTATGTCCGTGCTAAATCAATGAAAAAAAAACCGCTGTAAAACAGATGGTAAAATAATAATAATAATAAAAATAAAGAGCTGCAATAAAACAATATATGTACTTACATCGAGCATAAAACAATTTAGGACATTTGAGCTAAACAAGGTTTCCAAGAAATAGCCGCTCAAAACAATTGTAAAATTTATTGAAAGTTATTAACAATTATCAAAAATCGTTTAGAATTTGGTTCTGATGATAATGATATTCGACTACTTTAAGTAGCTTGTGCCAGATCTTTGGATTATCATATATATATATATATATATATATATATATATATATATATATATATATATAGTATGAATGACTTGCAAAATCATACGAGGATCTGCTCCGATTTCAATGACTTTTTTCTTCATCCTCGGATCTTTGGCATTGATTCTTGACCATCATCAAAATATTCCATCCTTTCTGAATTGGTCAATCAAAGTAATTTTGTATGATTATGATTTTTATGGCCATATTATATATTATTTTATACCCTGAACCCTTTAAAAATGGTTTTTATGGTTTTATGCAAATGTATGTAACAGGCAGAAGAACTTTAAATATAGACTTTAAATTTGGAATATTTGTTTTCGTATACTCGGCGCAGATCAAGTTTGCTTTATTTTATCGATAACTGCCTCCGTTTCTCGATTATCGATACATTAAAATTTCCGATAGCAATAAATGACACAATTTTAAAGGCAGATTCTTCAACTTAATATATAATATGCATATACATATTATTGACCAACTGCACAAATTGAATCAAGATCGGATAGGAAAGAGCCAAGTTATTGTCGAAACTGTTTTATCATATTGATCTCATTTCTATCAGCAGCCGCAAGCATTTTCTGTATGCGTAAGAAAGAGATGGCATGATAATCGACGCGAGCGTCAATATGTCTTTGTGTGTATTGCGCAGAGCCCCGTTATCCCGTTACGATTGCTTGTGCGTATATATGTATGTATGTATTTATGTATATGCACGTGTTTGTCGGCAGAGGGCGCTTGCAGACATGCTCACATTTTGGTGCAAAACTTTTAAATGGAAATTTTGCAATAAAACTGAAAATATATTGAAAAACTGGGTTCAGGGTAAATCGTCTTCGAGCTCACTCGACTACAGGACTCTTGCTTGTTTCTTCTTCTTACTCTCTTAAGGAAAGGGTGCACTTGCAGACCTGCTTACATTTGGGTGCAACACTTTTTCAGGGCACTTTGAAGTCGAGCTCACTCGACTGCACCATTCTTACTTGTTATTTTATTTTTGTATTTATTCTTGGACAATAAGTATTCGAATAGTTTTTTACTTGTTTATTATATAATTCCCTTATATACAGTAGGTCAAGAAAGTGTTTGGACACAGGAAAAAGTATTCAATAGTGGACTTCTTAAAACTATTGAACAAAGAAATTAATTATTATAAATATATATGTGTATATATATCTATATATATATATATATATATATATGAGAGGAGGGTGCCTTTTCTGGCTAGCTCATCAGCTTTTGCAGTTGCCTGCTAGATTTGCCAGATTTGTCAAATCGTGTAGAAATTAGCAATAGAAAATACAATATTTTGAAGACATAGCTATGGAACAGAAGTTAATCAAATTTAGGCGTTGTTAAATTTCAAAATAAATCGTTCAATTAATTTAAATCTTGCTTTTAATTTTAAAAAACTATTCACCTTCATTTCAAATGACATAAAAATAAAGCTGGGAATCACAATGCTTGCACAAGCTCATTTAAAACCGTGTTACCTCCATGTATATATATATATATATATATATATATATATATATATATTATTTTTATGTATTTTAATTTAGTATAGTAATTTTAATTTTTATTTAATATAGCAATTTTATATATTTGAAAAGAAAAGTGCAAAAATAGCTCATTATTCGGGGTTTAATTAGTGGCATTGCGCAAGATTTCCTGTGAATATTGTCCAATATTGTGCTGAAGGGCCCCCAAAGCAACTGCAATTTTAATTGAACGCATTGTAAATTATGGACATGCAAATTTTCCCACAGCTGCCAAAGGTTTAACAACATTTTTTTTATCTCGTTTTTTTTTTTTTTTGTTTTTTTTTTTTTTTATCGTAATGAGCCTTTAAGTCAAACGTAGAGCTGGCTTCGACGTAGCACAGAAGCTGCAACTAACCACAAATCACAATAACACCCATACCACACCAAACATAACACAGAACAGAACAGAACATCAAACCGAGAATATGGGAAGTGGACGGGAACGCATAATCATTATCACTCAAATTGGGGCCCCCTTGCAATTGGATGGATGGATGGATGGTTGGATGGATGGATATGTGTGTGCGCTGTGATGTGCTGTGATGTGCTCGGGCCAACCAAGACCAACCAAACACCAATTATATATCGAAAGCCAAAGACGAGACCAAACTTCTGGACTCAAGAATATGATCAGCATATATATGGCTCGTATGCATATGAGATACTCGCTGTGCCGGCACTTAAACGGTCTACTAGCATGAAATGGGCAGGTCCCGCATCGAAAATCCCAATTCGAGTACCGTAACTTAAGCCCATAAATTAAGCGGCCACAGATGATGATGAGAACGCAGCTCAAGCCGAAGCTCAAGCTGAAGCTCAATCTGAAGCTGTAGCTGAAGCTGTAGCTGAAGCCATAACCGATAACCGAAACGGAATCGATGTCCAGAGATGATGATGACCACCACGAATTACAATCTGAGATTCAAAATTCGCACGAGCAACTCGCACTCAGCACTCAGCGCTCAGCACATACATTTCGATTTGGGACCAGCTTGCCAGTTTCGAGGCAACAATTGTGACTTTGTTGTTAAGTGGCCCCTTCATCCAGCACATAGGCCACTGCCTTAAGCCTAATAAGGATAATAAAAGCGCACAGGCGCTGATAATAATTAGGTGATGCACAAACTCAATGTGAATCGGTTAAATGCGCACATATGAAAACAATTATAATGGGGTAGCCTCGATTGCAGACAGCTTCTATGTCGAAAAAGGCGCTGAACCTGCGACCCATGTGGACCTGCCCGCTCTACGTCAACAGAGCTCCTCTGAATTTTGGAGTTCACTAATGGGTTGCCTTGTTGATGTCTTGCTACCTTGCCCCGGGGATGAAGACCAACCCAGCTCTAATCTCACCGAGGGCTAAGCTGCTAACCACTCTTTCCCTAAGGAGAAAGACTATCTGGGAGATTAGTGGGCCTGGATTAGTCTCTCCAGTTTTGACTGTCGACTTGGCGCGTGACCAGCTGTGGATCGGCTCGCTATTTCGAGTGTCCCATCTTGATGCGGGTTGCTTCCTGAGAAGTGCATTTCATTTCGCTTCGTGGCTAAGTTTGCGTCTGGTGCCCGTTTTGATAGCGTGATAATTTGTGGAGTTCCTAAGCCTTCTTCCGCTTGGCTTTCCTAATCCCAATATTGTAGGAGGTCGGACTTTCATATTGGTCGCCTCAACGCTGTAGGTCCAACAAGGTCCTTTGCCAAATTGGCAACTTTACTTCAAAGCATTAACTATGCTCTCAACTCATAAGTTTGCTTACAATTCGCTCTAGTTGCACATTTCCCTGTTCCTTATTCTGGGGCTGTGAGGATAAAAAGGATTATAATTGGATAATCCTATGAATTCTTCTGGCAAGATATGCTTGGCATTGTCATTTCTAAATTATATTTGTACATTATCAAATCAAATTAAATTGATATCAAATCCACTCACTTCTCCTGAGCCAGCTGCATTCCCTGCAAAGCAGTCTGTGAGGAGAAATGCTGTAAGGATAGTAAAGTTAAGTTAAGTCAATGTACATGTTCTTCGTGCTGTTGCTCTCCGATCCCAGATTGCCTTGGAGTCCGCTGTCCACAGCTCTTTGATGACATTGTTTTCCCATGGCTCCCATAAGGTTGTTAGGCTAGGAGGGGGGGACAGGAATTGGCCTGGCTGTGTGGCATCAATTACCTAACCAACCAACTGCAGCTAAGCAGGCTCCTTCCAAATATTATCCTTCAAATAGCATTTATTGTCATCATTCTAAATTTGAGTAAATCGCTTAACGTCTTCCCCAAGAAACAAGTCACAAGTCAGTCGCGATTTATGTTTGCACTGTAAATGAACAGTAAACTGTATAATCCTTTGCAGATATCCTGTATATATATATATATATATACTGATCTCAGAGTCTATAAGACCTAGAATATAATGCTCTTAAGGCCCGGCAGATCAAGTTTCATTTAACTGATAATTCTCTGCTCCGATTCGGAAATATCGATAAATATCATTTTCCGATAGCAATAAATGCAATAATCTTATAATTCTCATTAATGTTAAATATATATTAATAATTTTTGCCAGAATTGAATGTAGAGCGATTAAAAAACGATTAGAAAAAGATATAATCGAAAATATATTCGAAAATTGATTCCATTTCTATTGGCAGCTGCAAGCCGTTTCTGTATGGACAGATACGATATGATATATGATATTTCCCCCGATCGATATCATAATGAATACATAAATACTTTTCTAATTGCTTTTCGTAATTTGTTTGATTTCAAATATCAAGATTTGTCGGCGGGCAAAGCGTTAATATATTGATTAAAGTTGAAGACGCAGTGGCCTTAAAGGTGTGTACATTAATGCTGATTGAATGTGCTGCTACTGCCACTGGCTCAGTGCCACACTGCCACTG